TGGTACTGGTACCAAAACAGAGATATAGACCAATGGAACAGAACAAAGACCTTGGAAACAATGCCACACATCTACAACCATCTGATCTTTGACAAACTGGACAAAAACAAGCAATAGGGAAAGGATTCCCTGTTTAATAAATGGTGTTGAACAAACTGGCTATCCATATGCAGGAAGCTGAAAGTGGACATCTTCCTTACACCTTAGACAAAAATTAACTCCAGATGGATTAAAGATTTAAAGGTAAGAACTAACGCTATAAAAACCCCAGAAGAAAACCTAAGCAACACCATTCAGGACATAGGTGTAGGCAAGGACTTCATGACTGAAAACATCAAAAGCAATGGCAACAAAAGCCAAAATAGACAACTGGAATCTAATTAAATTTCAGAGCTTCTGTACAGCAAAAGAAACAATCATTAGAGTGAACTGGCAACCAAAAGAACGGGAAAAAATTTTTGTAATCTATCCATCTGACAAATGGCTAATATCCCAAATCTACAAAGAACTAAAACAGATTTGCAAGAAAAAAGCAAACAAACTCATTCGGAAGTGGTTGAAGGAGATAAACAGATACTTTTCAAAAGAAGACATTTATGCAGCCAACGAACATATGAAAAGATGTTCATCATCACTGGTCATTAGAGAAATGCAAATCAATACCACATTGAGATACCATCTCACGCCAGTTAGAATGGTAATCATTAAAAAATCTGGAGACAAGAGATGCTGGAAAGGATGTGGAGAGAAAGGAACACTTTTACACTGTTAGTGGGAGTGCAAATTAGTTCAACCATTATGGAAGGCAGTGTGGCAGTTCCTCAAGGATCTAGAAATGGAAATTCCATTTGATCCAGCAATACCCATTACTGGGTATATACGCAAAGGATTATAAATCATTCTACTATAAAGACACATGCACATATATATTCACTGCGGTGCTGTTTACAATAGCAAAGACCTGGAACCAACCCAAATGCCCACTGATAATAGACTGGACAGGGAAAATGTGGCACATACACATCATGGAATACTATGCAGCCATAAAAAACGATGAGTTCATATCCTTTGTAGAGACATGGATAATCAAGAAACCATCATTCTCAGCAAACTGGCACAAGAACAGAACACCAAACACCACATGTTTTCACTCATAGGCGGGTGACAAACAATGAGAACAAGGGCACGGGGAAGGGTACAATACTCACTGAGGAAGGTGGGGGTGGAGGAGGGGGAGGGGAGGGATGGCAGCGTGTGGTGGGGGATGGGGAGCAATAACACCAGGAGAAATGCCTGATGTAGGTAATAGGGGGAATGGAGACAGCAAACCACCATGGTATGTACGTACCTATGGAAAAATCCTGCAGGATGCAGGATGTACACATGTACCCCAGAGCCCAAAGTACAATAATAATAAAAAGAAAGATAGAGATTGGGAGAATTGATTTAAAAATATGAACAAATTACATTCTTCCTACAAGAAACTTACCTTACCTATATGTAAAGACACATATAGACTAAAAGTAAAGGGGTGAAAAATAAATTCCATGCAAATGGAAACCAAAACGGAACACAAGTAACTATAGTTAAATCAGATAACACAGACTTGAGATCAAAAACAGTAATAAAGGACAAAGAAAGTCATTATATAATGATCAAGAGATTAATTCAGCAAAGGATATAACAATCCTAAATACATGGGAACCCAACATCAAAACATCCAGCAATACAATAATAGAGGACGACGTCAACATCACACTCATAGCACTAGACAGATCATTTAACAAAGAAATACTGGACTTAAACTGGATTTTAGACCAAATGGACTTAATAGACACAGAACATTCTACGAAGCAACTACAGAATATACATTCCTTTGATAAGCACATAGAACATTCTCCAAGGTAGACCATGTTACAGCAAAGCCACAAAACAAGTCTTAACAAATTTTTAAAAATTAAAATCATATCAAGTGTCTTCTCAGACCACAGTGGAATAAAGCCAGAAATCGATACCAAGAGAAACTTCAGAAACAATTTACACAGTATGCTTCTGAATGATCACTGGGTCAATGAAAAAATTAAGATGTAAATTTTAAAATTTTACTAAATGAATGAAAATGAAAACACAGCATACCCAAACCTGTGAGACACAGCAAAAGCAGTGCTAAGAGGGATGTTTGCAGCATTAAAGCCTATATCAAAAAAGTAGAAAGATGACAAATTCACAACCTAACATCACACTTCAAAAAGCTAGAGAAACAAGAATAAACCAATCCCAAAGTTAATGAAAACAAAAATCAAATATCAAAGAAGAATCAAATGAAATAGAGAACAAATACAAACCAGTGCTTCCATTCATGTTGTGAAAAGAGAAGAAAATAAAATATAATGAAACAAAAAGTTGGTTCTTTGAAAGTATAAAGAAAATTGACAAACAGCTAAATAGACTAACCAAGAAGAGACAAGATCTCAATAAATGCAATTGGAAATGAAAAGAGAGATATTACAACTGATTCCACAGAAATACAAGATATCTTCAGGGACTATTATGAACAACTCTATACTCACAAGCTGGAAAACCTAGAGGAAATGAATAAATTTCTGAAAATATACAAACACCCAAGATTGAACCAGAAAGAACTAAAACTCTCGAACAGACCAATAATGAGTATCAAATCAATAAATGAAATATATCACATAACATTATTAAGGACAAAAACCATATAATCATTTCAATAGGAACAGAAAAGGCATTCCATAAAATTAAGCATCCCTTCATGATAAAAATCCTCAACAAACTAGGCATAGAAGGAGCATACTTCAATGTAATAAAGGTAATATATGACAAATCCACAGCAAACATCTTAATTAACGAGGAAAAGTTGAAAGCATTCCCTCTAAGAACTGGAAGAAGACAAAAATGCCCACTTTTACCACTCTTATTTAACATAGTACTGGAAGTCCTCACCAAAGCAATCAGGCAAGAGAAAACATAAAAGCACTGAAATTACAAACAGGGAAGTCAAATTATCCCTGTTCACTGATGATAAGATCTTATATCTAGAAAATCCTAAAGACTCCACCAAAAAAACCTGTTATATTTGATAAATCAATTCAGTGAAGTTTCAGGATGTAAAATTAACATACAAAAATCAGAAGCATTTCTATACACTGATAATGAATTAGCCAAGGACCAAATCAAGAAAGTAATCTCATTTACAACAGCTATAAAAATGAAACAAAATATCTGGGAATATTTAACCAATGAGGAAGAAGATCTCCGTAATGAGAACTATAACACACTAATGAAGGAAATCACAGATAAAACAAATGAAAAAAACATCTCAGGCTCATGTATTGAAAGAAACAACATTACTGAAATGACCAACATTATTGAAATGACCCAATCCACAGATTTTATAGGAGACATAGTAATCAACAGATTCAACACAATCTCTATCGAATTACCATGATTTTTTATAGAATCAGAGAAAATAATTCTAAAATTTATATGGAACAAAATAAAAAGAAAAGAAAAACGGAGCCCAAATAGCCAAAGCAATCTTAAGCAAAAAGAACAAAGCTGAAGGCATCACATTACCTGACTTCAAATTATTCTACAAGGCTACAGTAACCAAAACAATATGGTGCTGTTATAAAAATAGACACATAAGTCAATGGAACAGAATAAAGAAACATATACCTGCAACCAATTGATTTTTGACCACTGCAACAAAAATTTACACTGAGAAAAAGATATCCTCATTGAATAAACAGTATTGGGAAAACTGGATTGCTATATGCAGAAGAATTAAATTGGACCCATAACTCTCACCATATGTAAAAATTAACTCAAGATGGATTAAAGACCTAAACTAGAACTTGACATTCTAAGTATCTTAGAAGAAACCCAGGAAAAAACTCTTCTGGATATTAGCCTAAGCAGAGAATTTATGAACAAGTCCTCAAAGCGAATGCAGCAAAAATGAAAATAGACAAATGGGACTTAATTAAACAAAAAAGCTTCTGTACAACTGAGTAAACAGACAACCTACAGAATGTGAAAAAATTGTAAATTATGCATCCAACAAAGGGCTAATATCCAGAATCTACAAAGAACTCAAAAAGCTTAACAAGAAGGGGGGGAAAAAACATTTAAAACTTGGGCAAGGGAAATGCTGAACAAACATTTTTCAAAAGAAAGCATACAAGCAGCCAACAAACTATGAAAGAATATCTAACCTTACAAATCATCAGAGAAATGCAAATAAGAAACACAATGAAATATCATTTTACACCAGTCAGAATGGCTATTATTAAAAGTCAAAACACAACAGACATTGGCAAGGATGCAGAGAAAAGGGAACACTATACACTGTTGGTAGGAATGTAAATTAATACAACCTTTATGGAAAATAGTATGGCAATTTCTCAATGAACTAAAAATAGAAATAACATTTGATCTAGCCATACCACTCATGGGTATACACCCAAAGGGAAAAAGTTGTTATACAAAAGATACCTGTACTTGCATGTTTATCCCAACACTATTCATAATAGCAAAGATATAGAATCAACAACCTGTGTTGATCAAGAGAGGAATGGATAAAAAAAAAAAAAATGTGGTCCGCGTACGTGAAGGCAGTGGTGGGGGTCGGTGGTTGTAGGTATGTGTATACACACACATCATGGAATACTACTTAGCCATTTAAAAAAATGAAATCATGTCTTTTGCAGCAACATGGATGATACTGGAAGCCATTATACTAAGTGAAATAACTCAGTAACAGAAATCAAAAACTGCATGTTCTCACTTATAAATGGAGCTAAACTATAGGTACAATGGACACACAGAGTGGAAAAATAGACAGCAGCAGCGAGTGGGATAGATTGATCTCCCGGCCCCCAAAGGACATGTGCATGTGCTTATGGCAAAAGGTGGGTAGTTCTGTCTTTGTTTCCCCAGTGGTGCCTATGAGTACCAGCAGTGGAAAGCAGGGTGGGTCAATCCACAGGTTTTACAGGAGACAAAACAAGGTGGGAGTGTTGAAAATTACCTATTAGGTACAATATTCAGTATTTGGGTGAGGGGTACACTAAATGCCCAGATTTCACCACTATGAAATATATGCATGTAAGAAACTGCACATGTTGACTCCATGAAAAAACTGCCTCAACTAATGGACAAAATAAACAGCTAGCATCATAATGCCAGGATCAAATTCACATATAACAATATTAATCTTAAATATAAACAGGTGAAATGTCCTAATTAAAACACACAGATTGGCAAATTGGATAAAGAGTCAAGAATCCATCAGTGTGCTGTATTCAGGAGACCCATCTCATATGCAAAAGACACACATAGGCTCAAAATAAAAAGATGGAGAAATATTTACCAAGCAAATGGAAAGCAAAAAAAAAGCAGGGGGTACAATCATAGTCTCTGATAAAACAGACTTTAAATCGACAAAACAAAGATCAAAATACACAAAGAAGGGTATTACATAATGGCAAAGGGAGCAAAGCAACAAGAAGAGCTAACTATCCTAAATATATATGAACCCAATACAGGAGTACCCAGATTCATAAAGCAAGTCTTAGATGTACAAAAAGACTTAGATCCCGACACAATAATAGTGGGAGATTTTAACACCCCACAGTCAGAATTAGACAGATCAACGAGACAGAAAATTAACAAGACTATTCAGGACTTGAACTCAACTCTGGACGAAGCGGACCTAATAGACATCTACAAACTTTCCACCCCAAATCAACACCATACACATTCTTCTCAGCACCACATCACGCTTATTCTAAAATTGACCACATAATTGGAAATAAAACACACCTGAGCAAATACCAAAAAAAAAAAAAAAAAAAAAAAAAAAAAAAAAAATAAAAAAAGTCTCTCAGACCACAGTACAATCATATTAGAACTCAGAAGTAAGACAGTTGCTCAAAACCACACAACTACATGAAACTGAACAACCTGCTACTGAATGACTACTGTGTAAATAGCAAAATTAAGGCAGAAATAAAGTTCTTTGAAACCCAGGAGAACAAAGAGACAATGTACCAGAATCTCTGGGACACAACCAAAGCAGTGTTTAGAGGGAAATTTATATCACTATAAGAAAGCAGGAAAGATCTAAAACCGACACCCTAACATTACAATTAATAGAACTAGAGAAGCAAGAGCAAACAAACTAAAAACCTAGCAGGAGACAAGAAATAACTAAGATCAGAGCAGAACTGAAGGAGATGGTGACACAAAAAACCCTTCAAACAATCAATGAATCCAGGAGCTAGTTTCTTAAAAATATTTAAAAAATAGATCACTAGCAACACTAATAAAGAAGAAAAAAGAGAAGAATCAAGGAGACACAATAAAAAATGATAAAGGTGATATCACCACTGACCCCACAGAAATACAAACTACCCTCAGAGAATACTATAAACACCTCTAAGCAAATAAACTGGAAAAACCTAGAAGAAATGGATAAATTTTTGGAAACTTACACCCTCCCAAGACTAAATCAGGAAGAAGTCAAAACTCTTAATAGACCAATAACAAGTTCTGAAATTGAGGCAGTAATTAATAGTCTACCAACCAAAAAAAGCGCAGAACCAGACGGATTCTACCAGAGATACAAAGAGGAGCTGGTACCATTTCTTCTAAAACTATTCCAAACAATAGTAAAACAGAGACTCCTCCCTAACTCTTATGAGGTCAGCATCATCCTGATACTAAAACCTGGCACAGACACAACAAAAAAAAAAAAAAGAGAGAGAGAATTTCAGGCCAACACCCCTGATGAACATCGATGAGAAAATCCTTAGTAAAATACCAGCTTCATCCCTTGGATGCAAGTCTGGTTCAACATATGCAAATCAATAAATGTAATCCATCACCTAAACAGAACCAATGACAAAAACCACGATTATCTCAATAGATGCAGAAAAGGCCTTCAATAAAATTCAACACCACTACATGCTAAAAACACTCAATAAACTAGGTATTGATGGAATGTATCTCAAAATAATAAAAGCTATTTATGACAAACCCACAGCCAATATCATACTGAATGGGCAAAAGCTGGAAGCATTACCTTCGAAAACCAGCACAAGACAAGGATACCCTCTCTCACCTCTCCTATTCAACATACTATTGGAAGTTCTAGCCAGAGCAATCAGGCAAGAGAAAGAAATAAAGCGTATTCAAATAGGAAGAGAGGAAGTCAAAATGTCTCTATTTGCAAATGACATGATTGTATATTTAGAAAACCCCATTGTCGCAGCTCAAAAACTCCTTAAGCTGATAAGCAACTTCAGCAGTCTCAGGATACAAAATCAATGTGCAAAAATCACAAGCATTCCTATACACCAATAACAGACAAATGGAGAGCCAAATCATGAGTGAACTCCCATTCGCAATTGCTAAAAATAGAATAAAATACTTAGGAATACAACTTACAAGGGATGTGAAGGACTTCTTCAAGGAGAACTACAAACCACTGCTCAAGGAAATAAGAGAGGACATAAACAGATGGAAAAACATTCCATGCTCATGGATAGGAAGAATCAATATAGTTAAAATGGCCACACTGCTCAAAGTAATTTGTAGATGCAATGCTATTCCCTAAAACTACCATTGACTTTTTTCATAGAATTAGAAAAAAAAAAAAAAACTACTTTAAATTTCATATGGAACCAAAAAGGAGCCTGTATAGCCAAGACAATTCTAAGCAAAAGAACAAAGCTGGAAACATCACACTATCTGACTTCAAACTATACTACAAGGCTACAGTAATGAAAACGGCATGGTACTGGTACCAAAGCAGAGGCCTCAGAAATAACATCTACAACCATCTGATTTTTGACAAACCTGAAAAAACAAGCAATGGGGAAAGGATTCCCTATGTAATAAATGGTGTTGGGAAAACTGGCTAGCCATATGCAGGAAAGTGAAACTTGACCCCTTCCTTACACCTTATACAAAAATTAACTCAAGATGGATTAAAGACTTATATGTAAGAGGTAAAACCATAAAAATCCTAAAAGAAAACCTAGGCAATACCATTCAGGACATAGGCATGGGCAAAGACTGCATGACTTAAACACCAAAAGCACTTGCAACAAAAGCCAAAGTTGACAAATGGGATCTAATTAAACCTCAGAGCTTCTGCACAGAAAAAGAGACTATCGTCAGAGTGAACAGGCAACAGGAGAAAATTTTTGGAATCTATCCATCTGACAAAGGGCTAATATCCAGAATCTACAAGGAACTTAAGTTTACAAGAAAACAACAAACAACCCCTTAAAAAAGTGGGTGAAAGATATGAACAGACACTTTTCAAAAAAACAAATTTATGTGGCCAAGAAACATACAAAATGAGCTCATCATCACTGGTCATTAGAGAAATGCAAATCAAAACCACAGTGAAATACCATCTCACACCAATTAGAATGGAGAGTGTTAAAGAGGAAGGAGGCAACAGACACTGGAGAGGATTTGGAGAAACAGAAATGTTTTTACACTGTTGACGGGAGTATAAATTAGTTCAACCATTGTGGAAGACAGTGTGGTGATTCCTCAAGCATTTAGAGCTAGAAATACCATTTGAGCCAGAAATCCCATTACTGGGCATATACCCAAAGGATTAGAAATCATTCTAGTATAAAGACACATGCACATGTATGTTTACTGTGACACTATTCACAGTAGCAAAGACTTGGAACCAACCCAAATGCCCATCAATGATAGACTGGATAAAGAAAATGTGGCATAGGCCAGGCACGGTGGCTCAAGCCTGTAATCCCAGCACTGTGGGAGGCCGAGGCGGGTGGATCACGAGGTCAAGAGATCGAGACCATCCTGGTCAACATGGTGAAACCCCGTCTCTACTAAAAATACAAAAAATTAGCTGGGCATGGTGGCGCGTGCCTGTAATCCCAGCTACTCAGGAGGCTGAGGCAGGAGAATTGCCTGAACCCAGGAGGCGGAGGTTGCGGTGAGCCGAGATCGCGCCATTGCACTCCAGCCTGGGTAACAAGAGCGAAACTCCGTCTCAAAAAAAAAAAAAAAAAGAAAATGTGGCATATATACACCATGGAATACTATGCAGCCATAAAAAATGATTTCATGTATTTTGCAGGGAAACGGATGAAGCTGGAAACCATTATTCTCAGCAAACTAACACGAACAGAAAACTAAACACTGCACATTTTCACTTACAAGCCGGAGTTGAACAATGAGAACATATGGGCACAGGGAGGGAAATATCACACACCAGGGCCTGAGGGGTATTAGGAGGAAAGGGGAGGGACAGCATCAGGAGAAATACCTAATGTGGATGACTGGTTGATGAGTGCAGCAAACCACCATGGCACATGCATACCTATGTAACAAACCTGCACATTCTGCACATGTATCCCAGAACTTAAAATACAATAAAAAAAATAATTAAAAAAAGAAATCTGCACATAAATATATTTAAAATATATTTAAAATGTTTAAATACATTTAAAATAT